CCCACTCCCCGAACTCTGTCCCCAGCTACAGAACTGTCCGCACTCCCCTGTCCCCACTCCCCGAATTCTGTCCCCATTCGCGTCCCCACTCCCCGAACTCTGTCCCCACTGGCACTCTGTCCCCTGCTGCAGAATCCTGTCCTCTGCCCTCCCAGCACCCTGTTCCCTCTCCGCTGCCCCCAGCCACAGTACTCTGTCCCCACAAAATGTATAATTATAAATTCTTCATTTTAGATTTAAATAGCATGAATAAAAAACAGACCATTTATTTCATAACTATAAACACATGATTTTAATTGTGATTTTAATGTATGTATCGCATAATTTAAAAATAAACTGTTTATCAGAGTGTGTAAGTAAGGGCTGGGCATAGCAAGTGATGGACAGGAGGAGAATAGAGAGGGCGGGGCTTCAAGGAAGGGGAGGGGCTTCAAGGAAGGGGCGGGGCGGTAGATCTTCACCTGTTCTGAGATTTAAAAAGTGATCTTGGGTGTAAAAAGGTTGGAGACCACTGCTCTAGGTTGTATTGGAGGGGGAAAATCTAGCTTCCCTGCAGAACTTAAATAGACTTGCTTGAGTTGTGGGGAAGCTGTACCATATTGTTCTGCCTGCAAGTAAGGGTAACTTCATTTGAGGATAGGATTTAGAGATCAGCTTGTTTAGTAGAGCACAACCCAGGAGTAGGGAACCTCTTTTGGATCAGAGGCTGCAGACCCACAGAAAAAATCAGTCATGGTCCACACAAGTCAGAAGCAGCAAAACAAAAAAACCAACCCTCACCCCCATTTTCTTCACACACCACAGCCTAGAGGACATAGGCTAGTAAATTTTGTGCTCCCACCCTCAAGTTCTGTGGTAGGGCCAAAAACAAGCTCAGTGTGGGAAACAGGCTTGGGGTCTGGGGTTTGGGTGGGAGGGAAGATGTGGAAGTTGATTGGTGGGTCTGGGAGTGTGATAGGGTGCAGGAGTGGATTACAGGCAATATTAGCCTTGTCCAGTCAGTTAGCTGCCTTCACAGAGCCCTCAGCCTCTGACCAGGTGGGGCTGACTAATCACCTGTGAAACTCTGCTGCCATGCAGCTTAGAGGGAACACTGGTTATGGGGGCTGGGTGGGAGGCCACAGGGCTTGAGTACCAGCTCCCTAATTATGGGTGGGGGAGCCTCAAGCCTCTTGGGCCAGACCCAGGCAAGCTGGGGGCTGAATCCGGCCACAGGGTTGTAGGTTCTCCATCCCGGCGCAGCCTGTGGGAATGCCAGATACTGGTATCAAATTCTGCCTTTAGCAGCACTCTAAACTGTTTTTTTTTTTAAAAAGGAGATATGCAAATTAGTGCTGAATTTGCATAACGTCCAATTGCTTTTTCGACAAAGTAGTCTGGATGTAGTTTTTTTAGGGAAAAAACCCTTTCGAAAAACTGCATAAACTTCCTTTTTTAGGAAGAGTGGTTTTTGGAGTGGACGGACAGCTCCAGCCCCACTGCCAGAACAGCATGTTGCCCAAGGGAGCTGCTGCAGCCCCGACCCTGCTGCCAGGTGGCACGTGGCCCCGATCACGCCGCTTCTGCTGGATGCCACGGCTGGCTTCTGCTCCCAGGCTGCTGTGGCCTTGGCCCCACTGCTGGGCAGCAGGCAGCCCCAATCAAGCTGCTATCACCGCTGCACCTGGGCTGCTGCAGCCCAGCCACCTCCCAGGCTGACATGGCCCAGCCAGGCGTCCCCTCTTGGGCTGCTGTGGTCTCAGCCCCGCTGTTGGGTGGCAGACAGTCCTATTTGTGCTCCACCCAGGGTGCTCTAGCCCTGCTGCTACGTACTCGCAGGTTTGCACCGGGCTTCCAGCTGTTGACCTGCCTGACCCGGTGTCTCATTCAGGAATGTCCGTGGTCATGCTGGACAATGGATGTTGCTGGACCAGAGAATCCCTATTTGAGATGTGCAATCTGTACTAGCATAGCAAACAGGACCTAAACTTTCAGTTTCCTTTCTTTTTAAATGTATTGGTCCAGTAAAATTTCTGTCAAACTGAAAATAGTCTGGTGGGTTTATTTTGTTGGGTTTTTCTGAAGGAGAAAACCCTTTCATGGTTCAGTTGTTGTTGGACTGCAGAACAAAAGACATTAGGAACTTGATCAATATCACTTGCAGGGGCATGCTAACTCTTCAGAGTCAAATGTCTTAAAAGCATGTCCTGGTTTCTGGGGCTGTAATGTGTTTATCCGAAGGTAGTTTTTAAATCTTGCCTGAGATGGATAGAGAAGACAAATGCCATATATGAGATCAGAGGTTCACTTTAACTGAAGGACCTTAGGACAGTCCCAGAAGTGAAAGGATTACATAGGCCTTTCTTGTTAGATACCTTCTTAATACTGAAATCTGAATTTCCCTGTATTCTGGTGAAGTGTAGCTGGATTATGACCAGCACCAGGTGAATTATGCTGCTTAAGGTAACCCTGAGTTCTTTCAGGCTCATGACTCCTGACTGTTGCAGGGAGTGATGGGAAAGGAGAGCTGAGTGGTCTTCTATATCACAGTCCTCTGACTTCTGCTTGGGATTTGAGGATATGGTTATAGATTTAATGAGGCTGGGATCAGGGTTGGCTGGAGAATATAAAAGGGAGCTGTCTTTGTACCTGAGCATAATGCAGTTACGTTGCTGCAGGGTTCAAGTCTATAACAGTCAAATCTTTAGTGAAGTTACAACTTTTTTCTTTGCTGTATTGTGTATGAGCTATTGCTGGCTGCTTATGTAATTCAAGGGGTTGCTACCTTCTCCTGGCCTTATCACAATGCTATTAAAGCATCAGGGAGTGTAGCTAATGAGAATAAACTAACCATTTTGGGATGGCTTTGATGTGGTCAACTGGGAATCTTAGTTTAGACATGAGGAAGCAAAGTCCATGTTCAAACTAATTGGGAAACCTGGCTTCTGTTCTAGGAATGAAAAGTTAATATCCAAGTATACAACAGATCCTCAGTAACACACTTGCTTAGTAAGTATGGGCTGAAGAGGGAGATGAGGCTTTTCTTCACCATGCTTACAAGGGCTAGTTATGTACAACAGTGGCTTCTTGGAATAAGCAGGTCAGTGCTTACCCCTTTCTACTGGGAGCAATGAATCTCCTGTCCCCAGTACAGGAAAGCTGTATGTCAAGACTGACTTTTTATTCCCACATTATTGTTGAGGGAATATTGCTTGCTCTGTGTGTGGGGGGAGAGGAGAGGGAGGAGGGAAAGGATGGGGGAGGGAGTTTACCTTAAAAGGAGATTTGTTCTGTGGCTTGGACTTGAAACAGTGGGTTTTCTTTTACCATAATATCCACTCCATTAGCAGAAAAATCTACTTACAGCGCTGTAGCTATGTATTCATTGAATTACCAGAAGACCTCGTATGTGTTCAGAATAAACATTTGGTGGTAGGGATCCAAGCAAAGGAGTATTTCATGGCCAGTATTTAGATTATATGTAAGGGAAAAGGAAAGCTCTGACTCAACCCCTTGTTGAAAATCCACCTACCTTAGAGTGCAGTTTCTGTTCTGTGGTGGTTGACGCAAGGGCTGCGCTGACAAGGCAGTCAGTAATACCAAGCCTTCACTGATCTCTAAACAAGGTTGTTCAGTTTATTCTTTCATTGTAAAGATTCTCAACCTTTTTTTCTGAGGCTCCCTACAAAATACTATAAAAACCATATGGCCCTCATGTACCACAACTTGTTTTCTGATAATAAAAGCTAGGGCCAGTGTTATGGAAAGCAGGCAGGGCCACCAAAGGTTTCAGCCCCGGATGGCAGGGCTTGGGGCTCCAGGCTTCATCTCCATGCAGTGGAACATTGGCTTTCTGCCTTGGGACCCAGAAAGTTTAATACCACTTCTGCTTAGCAGATCCCCTGAAATCTGCTTACAGCACCTCCCCCTCAAGGGCCCAGACCTCTTGTTGAGAACCATTGTTCTAGAGCACTGTACAAACTCTTCTACAGAAGACGAACTTACTGTGAGCCATACAAAATCTCCAGGGCTTGGTTTCACTCTGAATACATGCAACAGACTTATGTTTCCAGGTTGCTGGCTATCATGGTGATGAGTTCTGGTTTAAGTACTGATATTCAAGTGTCTAGAGGCTGCCTCAGTTTAGTGTTATAATCTGGGTCTTTAATAGAACTGACATTTTATAGGCTGTTCTCCAGGCCTGCTGTGTGAACTGATTTAGCTCTCACAGATTAAGCTGATCTAATGACAGTAATGCACACCAGAGTTACTTTTATCATCATCTCCTTTTATAAAATATTCTGAAGTTTACTCTCTTGGAAGAGAGGAGGAAAAATGGGATGGCAAATTCTAGTCTGTATGACTGACTGAGCACATCTATCATTGGCTCAGTAAAGAGAAATCTTGGAAAACAGATCCTTTACCTGAAATGCTGTAGGAATTAAAAGCTTGTAAATCAAACAACTCTTATGTATTTTGATGATGATTTAATTAGGACTCCTGTTGAAGTGAGTCAGGGAATGGTAACATTATACTCAGCCTAAAGGGTAGGGTTTTTTCCTGCTTTATCTTGAGTGGTATTGAATTTGGTGTGGTGTTCCAATTGCAGCAGGGATTTAAAGTGTAGTGGGGAAAAGAGAGATGCGAACCAAACAGGAAACAGATTAGCTGCAGGCCTAAAATCTTTCTCAAGGTTAACTTCTCAAAACCTGCTGGTGGAAGTTGGAGCAATAAATACTGTCACCATCTAGCTGTGCTACAGGAAGCACCTGTTGGCATAGAACAGGCCATAACAAACACCACAAGGAAGGAGAAGCAAGTTCTATCCAATATGTCCATGCTATAAACCTGATGTGACTTCTGTACAGCCCATCACCATGGGGAGGGGTGATACTGCCTTGTTGTTTCTCTTGTAGTTCTTGAGGTGATACCAGTTCATCCTCTGTTGCTTGTGCTTTGCTGGCCCTTGAAGACCGCTCTTGATGTTCTCATTTTTTTTTCCTCTTCCCTGCTCCTAACAGTGAAAGTCTCAGCTGTTGAGGTAGAGACACCAGATGAGCTCTTCGTAGAAAATGGGACAGAGGCAAGACTTCCATGCACATTTTCATCCCCAGAGGTGATCAGCAGCGCAGCATCCATCTCCTGGAGCTTCCAATCAGAGGGAGCAACAGCCCCAATATCAGTAAGAGCCCTTTGTCTGGGTTGATCCTGCTGTTTGGGGCAGGGCTGGGAGGGGGGGAAGTCTGGGGTGTGTTTAAAAGAACAAACACTTTGTGGTCAGCTCTGGTGTATTTTTTTGAGGTATGAGTGTGGAGCAGGTCCAACTTAATCTTGCTGCTCCTTCACCCATCTCTTATATAAACATTTGTTTTTAGCTGAGCTTGAAATATCTCCAAATGCTTGTACAAAGTGTCACATCCTGTGTTTTAACATTGGTTCTTTTCTTGGTGCCATGTAGCTTGATGTCCAAAAAGCCCAGTGGTGAGATCTCCTGCAGAAAGGTTGAGGTTAGTTTATACTGCATCTGGGAATGAGCCTCTCGTACTTGTACTAGTGGGACATGAGCTAGCATACTACAAGTAGCTCTGTGGGCATTGTGATTCTGGCAGACTTAGGCAAGTCACTTAAACTCAATCCTAAGGGGTTTGGTGGACTTGATGAGCTGCAACATCCATACAGCTATTTCTAGCACACTAGCTTGAGCCCTGCTAGTGAGTCTCTGGGCTAGGGGGGCTTGCTCTTAGCAGCAGTGTAGACCTATCCTTGGGCTACACTTAAACATTTGATTGACCTAGATACGATGCTTGGCTCTGACAAATTTAGCTCTGTGAGACAACTTACCCCCACAGTATTAGTAGGCAGGTCTAGCTACCACCTCTTGAGGGGGTAGATGTACTACAGTGGCAGAAACTTCAGTCACTGTAGCATCTACACTACTGTGGCCTCTCTGTAGTGCGCTGGTTTAGCACTTGTAGTATATATGCACACACGCCTTTTTTTAAGAGTGCCTCAAAGGGGAACAGCTAGGGAATAAGGGAAGAGCATGGGGAAGCTTTGGAACAGTGTGACCATGCCCTATGTTTAGGAGGGTGTGAGGTGAGGGCCTTATTTGTCATCTTTTGCCCCTTGGAGCTGTGTACTGGGACAGCTACTGAAGGGCCAGCAAGCTTTATTCATGTAAAAAAATTTGACTCAAACATGGAAACCCAGTTTGACCAGAGCTTTGAAGAGCTTGGTTTCCTAAAGAGGCTTTCTGTCATCTCACAACAAGCAAAGGACAGACCTGGACTGGGATGGGGAACAGGGAATGAGCATGTACAATGCTTTGGGTAGGCCTACATCCCCACTTTCCTGCTTCCAGCCAGTACATGCACTCTTCACTAGGGGTTCCCTGTAAGACGCACGCCTGTGCGGGCAGACACCAAGAATCTCATTCCCGCCAACCCTCTCAGCAGAGCCATGCAGCCCCACTGCTCCCAGGGACAGGGCCATGTGGCAGGTGACTGCTCACTCCAGGAGCAGCTTGGCAGCCACCATGTGACTTGCATGGCGGCTGCTGGACCTGGAGCCTAGGCCACAGTACTAGAAATAGCACCGTGGTCCAGCTCCAGTCCTGGCCCACAGGACAGCCTGCCTGCTGAGTGGCTGGCCCCTGGGAGCAGCTGAGGCAGTGGCTGCTGCTGGAGAGAGGACCATGATACTAAAAATAGTTTTCCCTGGAGCTGCAGTGCTAAGGAGAAGGTGGGAGTGAGGGGAGCTCTTGTGCTGAGGGCAGAAGGGGCCAAGGCAGGAGAAGAAAAGGGAAGGCACCAAAGGGCAGGGTGGAGGAAAGACAAATGCCAGGGGGCCAAGAGGAGACAATGAGGGGAAAGGCAGGAGGACGAGGGGAAAAGGCAGGGGGGTGGGAGAGGGGAGGGACAATGGAGGCAAGAGGAGGGGGAGGAATGGGTGCTGGGAGAAGAGGGGTTGAAAGCAAGGGTGGGCATGAGGAAAACAGGGGTTAGAGCAAGTCGTGTGTGAGAGCACAGAAGTGGGTGAGGAGAACTTGGGCAAGGAGGCAGGTGTGGAGAGGGCAGGGGCAGTGAGGGAAGGGGGAAGCACCAGGAGGGTACAGGGGATAAGGGAAGGTACAGATGCTGGGGGATTGTGGGAGTGGAAGGTAGAGGGAAGTGTTAGGAGAGGAGCTAGAGAAGAGATGGGCACGGGGGAAGGGCTGGTGCATGGGTCAAGGAGGATGCGGCAGAGGTAGGTTCCAGGAGGGCTGAGGGGAGTGGAAAAGGCAGGAGCTAGGACAACAATGGAGGGGTGGAAAGAGGGCAGCAGCAAGTACCAGGGGAGCAGATGAAGGGAGGGTGGGAGACATGGCAGTAGAGGTGAAAAGGGAGAGGTTTATAGCTTGGGTGCCACAGTGGCACACATCCAAACAAGTGCACATGACTTCAATATTGGTTCACAAAACACAACTCACTCCGCTCATGGATGGAAGATCTTAGAGGGAATACTGCTCTTCACAGCCTCCCTTCCTCCTCTATGCCCTTGCAAGCTTCCCAGGAGTGTGGAGCAGCTCGGAGGCATGTTTAAGTTTGAAGCGGTGCAGGGTGTTGGAGCAGTGCAGAGGAAGAAGGGGTGAGCTGTACAATGCTGGCATCCTCAAGTTGTGGAGCTGGAGAGAAGTAGCAGGAACAGAGGATGAACTAGCTCCCCAGGCACTCTTCCATGGCATATAAATCCAAAACTTCCTGTGCACTGCAAGACCGTATAACTGTATGGCACAAACTCCTAGTATGCCCCTCCCTCAATATGGAGGGAGAATGCAGCAGCTCCATGAGTTAAGATTGTCAAGCGCTTCGCTCTACACTTACTGGCTTTGATTAAAACAGTAAACAAATTTAACTACTCTGATAGTTTTAAGTGCTTATAAAGGACAGCAAACATCAAAGCAGATCATCTAGCAAATAAACGCACACACTAAGGTTAACATACTTTGTTGAATCATATCCAAACCTCTCACAACTTGACTGATACAAGCAGGCTAGCAGAATCTCAAGGTAGAAGCTGCACTTGCTTTACGGTTTGGAGAATACACAGGTTCTCTGAGTTGTGTTCCTATGGGAGCTCCACTCAGGTCTCAGTGTGTACCTGCGCTGGGGATCAAAGTTGTGCGAGCAGTGCCCCTTTGCTGCGCACTCAGCAGCCTCCCCACTCCTCTGGAGCCTGTGGAATGTGGAAGGAGCCTGTCAGTTCCTTTTCAACCATCCCTGGCTGAAGACCATACAGAGCAGTGCTCTTCTTCCTGACAGGAAAAACAGAAATCCTCTATTAGTTAGGTTGTTACTTCAGAGTTTTACTTAGTTCAACCTTTTTCAACACTTAGAAGGGGTGGGGAATGGGGGGAGGGGAAGTGGCAGCCGCGGTGACGGTGGCTTTTCTCCAACAATGCTGGGTTCCCCCATCTTCAAAAAATGCGATGCATGCAGAGACTCAGTGCCTACCTCAGATAGCCATGCCTCGTGTCAAATGCCTGTGGGAGTCTCCTGTGACACAGAAGTGCCCTCATTGCCTGAATGACAGCAGGGGCCACAAAAGACCACAAAATGTGGCTCAAGACTATTCTCTGGGAAAAGTCTCTTCAATGACCAAGGGACAAACCAGAGCAGGTGCAGACACAGCAAAAGCCCTTGGGTAGAGCAGCTTCATCACCCCGCGAAGGCTCTCAAGCCGCAAGGGCTTCCCTGGCATGCTCCCTGTCTGAGCTGCCTAGAGCCTCTCATTCCCTGGTGCCATCAGTCTCTGGTACCGCGGAGAAATGCAAGTCAGTCCCAGCCAGGAGAGCTGAGGCACAAACTAAGACCGGCACATCAACTGGTGCCACTGAGGCAGCAGCTTCAAATAAGCTGCATATGCCTCCTCCATCAGCTCCGGTGAGCTCTCTCTCTCTCTCTCTCTCTGCTTTTTTTTTTTTTTTTTTTACCACTGTCTCATGGCACTGCAGCACAAAGCGCTGCGCAAAACACAGCACGTACAAAAATCTCCTCAGTCTGATTCAAGAGGAGTAACTGGCTCACCACGCTCCACAGTGCAGGGGCATGCTGACACTTCAGAGTGGCCTCCGCTCACCTACACCGCTATCCCCAAAATCTGACGCTGGTAGCGGGCATAGGAGCAGGCTCTCATCAGGCCACTCCTCTCCATCACTAGCTTCCTGGCATTCATACAGGGACCACTCCCTTCAACATCCCATTTGGCCCAGCCAACGATGGATGTATCCCCAACATCAGCTCCTGTCTCAGTGGAGCCCCTGAGATACATAGTAAAGGTACCAACAGCATACCTACCATTCAAGGCACATATCCTCTACATCCCAGCAACATTGCACCTCTAGGCCAGAGGTGGCCAACCCATTAGTGATGAAGAGCCAAAATAGCAGTGGATAGAGTGCGAAGAGACACATACCGGGGGGTTGTTGAGCCAAAAAAAAGCCATGCTGGGGGAAAATAGGTGCCAGTACATGGTCCTGGGGCATACCATCACAAAAAAGCACTGGGAAGGGGTGAGAGGTGCAAGCTCTGGGAGGGAATTTAGGTGCAGAAGGAAGTAGAGAAGAGGATGCTGGCTCAGGGAGAGGGCTCCAGGCTGGAGAGTGTTGGGGTCAGGTAGAGGGTTGCGCTGAGCAAGCTGCAGGCTTGTGGCAGTGAGGGTTCAGGAGTTTGGGCTGGAATGTGTGAGAGGTTCAGGGCAGGGATGCTGGGAGTATGATTGGCTCAGGACAGATTTGCAGTGTGTGGATGGTGCAGGAGTGTTTTGGCAGAAGACTGGGGATGTGTGGGTGCAGGAGTTTGGGGATGGAGAGGCTCAGGAAAAGGGGTTCCAGTGTATGATAGGCTCATGTTTGAGGTCAGGGGGGGGGAGGGTGCAGGAGCGTTATGATGCTGCAGCTAGATGGGGAGGGAGTGCGGGGGAGGGCTTGGCCCCAATTGGTGGCTTGTTGGCCAGGCTTCATTTTTAAATAAAATGTCAAACACAAACTGTTTCAGTGTTGTCTTTGTGAGTAGGGCGGGGAACCTGTTTTGAGTCGGGTTACTGACCCACAGAAAAGTCAGTTGGGGCCATACAAGTGAGATGCAAAAAAAATCCCTCCAAAAAACCCCAAGCCTCACTAATCTGGCCCCAACTGTGCTGGTG